CAACTCCACCCGACGCCCCGCCGTGTTCTCTGTATCACTCGCCAGAGAAACCATCCAATCATATGTTATCAACACATCTGCGTTACTGCGGTGGAAATCAGAGATATGAGAAACACAGCGAAGCCACGCCATTGACCTTCTCAGTTCACTCTGCACATGTTGGAATATTAATTCCTGTTCTTTGCGTGAAGAAACAACAATCACCACACGACCAACAGTCGTCGCTGCGGTACCAGTCGTGTGATCCACATCCCCTTCCTCTGCAGACGCCGAGTGGAAGTGATGTCTAATGATATGAAGAAGCCGCTGTAGCTTTGCCGCATCCACACGTTCATACATTTGTTGTTTAGATCGCTCCTCTGCCATTTCTTCCACCCGCACAATATCCAAAACATGTTGGACTCCACCATGCCAGACGGTGTCATCACGTTGTCGATATCGATGCACCACATCCGGTGTATCCCGCAGGATCGTCTCCCGCATCCATTCATTCACTTCATCATACATCCGCGAGGCGGAGAGAATATACTGACACTCCACATCTACCGCATTGGAGAGAGAAACCCACCACGAGGCGGGTGCGGCTATTTGAGAGGTGGGCTGTGAAATACGGTCCACATCACTTATGCACACTACACGAACAGACTCCAACGGCAGTACTTCCGCCTGACCCCGCACAAGCTGCAGTGCCTCCACAAGTGACTGGTGTGTGGTGATGAGAAGAGGGATACGTTGCTGCAGGAAATAGGGAACCTCTTCACAGGTGGAAACGGGAGTGGATCCTCCTACCACTGTTGTTGTTATTGGCATTGTTATTGATGTTGGTATTGGTATTGTTGTTGGTATTGGTAGTATGGATGTGGTTGTCTGGTGTGGTGTGCTAGATGAATATTCAGGCATCTCTTCATATGGAGTACGGTGATGTTCATCACGTGAACGTCTCTTTTCGTCACGTTCGTAACGCTCATGGCGATTCCTACCACTACGACTTCCTTTTCTTTCTCTTTCCTTCTCACTTCTGCTCTTATTATTATTATTATTTTCGTTATCGTTTTTATTATTGCTGCTGCTGTGGTGTCTTCTTCTTCTACTTCTACTTTCTCTTCTCTCACGATGACGATGACGACTGCGACTTCGACGATGTCGTGATGAACTACGGTGCCGCCGTCGCTTTACTTTTTCATCTGCAGAAAGAGAACGTGTGCGATGACGGCGTCTTCGTGTACGGTGTGAGTCATGACGATAGTGTCGATCACGTGATGCTTCACGGCTTCTTTTTCGGGAAACACGCTCATTGTAATCTTTACTGTGTCGTCTATGATGATGTTGATGATGATGATCACTATGGTGATGATTATTATTATTCTTATCATCCTTATTATCCTCATCCTCTTCCTTATGCATATCACCTACGGCCTCTGATGATTCCACGGGTAATGGCATTGGTAGTGGAAGCGGTATTGGTGGTAGTGTTGCCATCGTCTCCTGCTGAGATGTATTACAATAGTAGTAATTAGTGTTATTAGTGTTATTATTATTATTATTATTATTATTATTATTATTATTATTATTATTATTATTATTATTATCGTGGTATACCGGTAGTGCCACAAGTTCGGCAGCATCACGACGAAACGTCATGGGCGCGAATGCACCCGGTGTGAAAACAGCCTGCAACCATCGATTACACTCTTGGACTTCACTGTAACTACTAACAAGAATTACCGCCCGTGGGGCTGATGGCTTTACAGTGTACATTTCATTAGACTCACTCTTTACATTATTTTCCGTTTCCTTCATCGTCTTTTCTGTATCTTTCACAGTTGATTCACGTGCTAATGTCAAGAGGGCTGTGGCCAATACACCAGCCGTTTTCTTTCCACAACCGCGTGGACCAACACTCAGCGTGTGGTATCCCAGCAGCATAGACGTGAGTGAAAACTGCTGTAATGCTCGCAGTACTAACTCTTGCAATCCATCATTATCCCCATCACCACTATTATTATTATTATTATTATTAATCATCATAGCAGCTGCACCAAACACTACTTCCTGCAACTCACGAAGTCCCGGACGCTCGTCACGTGCTGAAGTATCACGTGTGGATCTCTTTCTTGTATTTGGAAACCGCAATTGCTGTTTCAATCGCTTTAATATAAACGGTGGCATCTGCAGATCTTGCAGTCGCAGACAGGGCGGTGGTGGAGTGCGGGATGAACACTCCATACCAAGCATCATTCCATACTGTGAAATAAAGGCAGAGGAGAGATGATCAATCATGTATGGTGTTGGCTTCCAGGAGCTACGGGATGTGATTCCCACAGTTACACTACCATCCGCACCTGTATTATTATCATTATTATTATCACCGTTGTAATAGCCCCTTCGATCATTTCGTTCATCCCACTCATTATTATCATTATCATTATCATTGTTGTTGTTGTTTAAAGAGTGTTTTGCATTCACAGACCATGCCGCTCCACGCTCTGTTCCTGCATTACTATCTGGTCCATCTTCTATCACTAACTGCCAAAGTGATTTTTGTTCTTGTTGTTGTGATTGTTGTTGTTGTTGTGATGTGCTGTCAGAGGCGGGCACAAAGACAGGGAAGGCAAAGTCCATCTCCCCAGACAACTTTTTTTTTTTCTTTTCTGTTCTCTTTTCCTTTCTTTTCTGTGCTTTTCTATGGTGTTCCCTACAGCAAGCTGAGGAATAAATCACCTTCAGAGATCAGAAGAGAAGAGATGATGAAGGAAATGGAAAAAATAAAGAAAAAAGAAAAAAAAAGGGAAGGACTATTTATCCATCATTGGCATATCTCCCATTGAACTTCTCATGGGGATGAAATGAGAATTATATTCATTTTTCTCGGTTTGTTTGCAATATAGTGAAAAACCGAAAACAAAAAAAAAACAAATAGACATGTCACCGCACCAATTCAAACTCTCTTTCTTTATTTTTTTTTTTTATTTTTCTCTTTTTGCCGGTACTTCCTTTTTTTTCAATGTTCTTCTTCAGACTTCTCTGGTCATTACGGGGGGTTGGTTCGCCCTCTCAACTACCCCCAATACAGCTCATAAGAACAGTAAAAGAAAAGGAGGGAACAAATAAAAACGTTCCATATTCCTAATACTAAATTACCTCTTTTTTTTCCCGTCACACCTTCATCATCACCAAACACGCTAAATATATACACAACTGAGACTTTTTTTTTGGTTTTTTACCATTCAACACATCCCTTTTCCCCACCACACTTGATATATATATATATATATATTCCTTTTTCTCCTCTCTCACTGTGGTGTCATTCTTCTGAGCAAAGATATATCCTCTCCCCATCTAACCTTCATCCCTCCATTCCCTCCCCAAAGACACTCATATACATATATTTAATCAATATACACACTATATATATCATATTCCAGATATATAGTGCATCTATTATATATGCTGTGAGTCTTCTTTTTCTCTTTTTTTTTTTGCGCTTTCCTTCTCTCTTTCCAACATGCACTCCAAGACTACTCTGCTGAACGCTGCAGGCATGGATGTGTGTCTTTCTGCCGCAGTAGTTTCCCCTTGTCGTTGCTGTCCAATGGGGTGTGATGTCGTTTGCTAATAACACGCAGTGTGGCATCTGCAATCTGATCAACGGGTGCCGTTCCCACACTCACCTCACCCCGCTCTGGGTACTCCAGCAGTGTGAAGAGCAACGCCGAGTCGTCCACTGCGCCATCATCAAAGACAGCCGCATGTAATAACTTCTCCGTCACCGCATCAAATGGAACGGCGAGAACAGACATATCCTCCAGTACTTGCAGGGACATGCGGTGGGCGTGTGGATTGCGTTCGCCGCAGATACGTAGAATATTGGCAATATCATTAAGAATAGCGGTGTTAAAGGATGATTGGGTGACATCCTTAATAAAGTTCTGGCACTCCTGCATTTGCTTCTGCACCTTCACCAACTCCGTCTTCTGTTTATCCAGGTGTTCTTGTTTAAAGGCAGAGAGTCCACGCTTGAGGTCATCCTTAATGTGAAAACTGTTTAACTCATGTACCTTGTACTCCTGCAGCTTTACACGAATAGGATACATGGCCTCTTCATAGAAGGTCACCAGTTGACGCACACTTGCCCATGCGGTGTTCTCAAACTTCTCCTTCGCCCCTGCAAGAGCCTTCGCGGCCGCGGCAGCATCGCCACTCTTCGCCGCTCGCACCTCTGCGGCAATCTTAGTGACATCCTCCTCTGCTGTCAGCGTCGCAATGAGTGGGGCGAAGCGGGAACGGGCGAGATCCACCGTTGTGAAGAGAATCTCCCCTGGTCTGCATGCCTTTTCCAGAAGAGCCGCGGGGACATTAAAGGCCCGAGCCACTTCCTCCTTTGGAATCGGTGTTCCTAACTTCGCAGATGTCTTGGCGGGAGGAACGTTCTGTAATACAGATGCCGAGGCAACAAAGCGCTGGAGGAGGCGAGTACTATTCACAGAGGGAACTAAGCGGCGCATAGTTTGTCTAGAAGGTAATATATATATATATAATTTGCTTAGGATGAGTGTACTAATGGTATTCTCTTTCTTGTCAAGAATGAATATAATACTATATATATATATAGTATTATGTGTATGAATGTTTCCTTGACATAATGAAAAGAAGAAAAGTAAAAAACAAGAGAAATGAAAATAAAATAAAGAAGAACCCAGAAGGAAAAAAAAAAAGAAAAGGGATAAAATAGAATGGGAATTCATCAAGGTGAGACATTCGAAACACCATTTTTTTTTTTTTGTTTCTTTCTTGCAATAAAGAGGATCATTTTATTTCCTTTTTTTTTTTGTTTGTTAATTGTTTATACGATGAGATGACGTCCTATTATTTTTTATTATTATTTTATTTGCTTTCGTTAAGTCAACGCATTTGGTAACCCACTCCTCAAACACAAACATATCCAATAACGTCTCAGCATAGATATTCGAATTACTCCTTCTCTTCCCTTACTCTATCAATCTTCTTCTTCTTCTTTCTGCTATTACCATCTTCGCAAAAAATAATAATAATAATAATAAACAGATGGAAATCTATTCTACAATTTCCTTCTCATTATTATTATTATTCAATTGTCTTGACACGTCCACGAAACTCGTCCAGTGTTTTGTAACCCTTCTTCTTCATAATTTCCTGCAACTCCGTAGCGAGACGATCAAAGATAGCGGGTCCTTCCTCATGCAGTGCGGTTCCCACCTGTACCATGGATGCCCCAGCAAGAATATGAAGAAAGACATCTTCACCCGTGTAAACACCACCACAGCCAAATACCAATTTATCTGGACAACGGCGATAAAACGCATTCACATTGGCTAACGCAGTAGGGAGAATGTATTTCCCACCCACACCACCAAACCCTTGTTTGGGTTTAATCACAACCGTTTCCGTTGCTGGGTCAATCACAAGACCATTACCAATACTGTTTACACACGTTACAAATTTAACAAGTGGGAATTCATTTAACACCGCAGCCGCCATATCAAAGTGGGCAATATCAAAATACGGTGGCATCTTCACTCCAAATGGTAATCCATACGCCTCTGATACTTCCTTTAAATACACACGCATCGTATCAAAGTCGTAGGCCACTTGTGGTTTGCCGGGTACATTCGGGCATGAAAGATTTAATTCCAACACCACACCCTTCTCTTTGGCTACAGGTGCGAGTCTCTTACACATCGCGGCATTCTCCTCCGCGGAGAGTCCGGACATGGAGAGAAAGAGTGGTTTCCGGCCATAGTCGTGCTGCTCATTCGCATACTTTAGATAGACATCAAATCCCAAATTGGGAAGTCCCATGGAGTTAATACTACCGAGTGGCAGTCCGCAGTATCGCGGCTCGGGATTTCCATCACGGTGTGCAGTTGTGCAACTCTTCGAGACCAGTGAGCCGCTGGAAGAGGCGGTCATGCATTGCAGATCGTCTATTGTACTACAGAGTACACCAGCGGCGTTCATGAGTGGATTGGCAAACTCATGGCCGAGAATATTAACTTTCAGACTCATATTTGTGTGTTTTTTTTTTTTTTTCCTTGTGGTTCTTGTTTCTCTGCTTTTCTTCTTTTTTTTATGTGTATGTCGTTTGGTAGTTTGGCTGGTTTAGCTTTTATCTTTTATTTTTCTTCCTTCCGTCTATCCACCTTGTGGGTATTAAGAAGAGTAAGAGGGAGATATCATCATTATCATCATCATTATGAATAGGAACAGGTAGTGGTAACAGGAATAAAAGCAAGCTCAAGAGAAAACAATAGAGATAAATAACAGCCGATAAAATGCAGGAGACTCACAAAAAAAGAAAAAAAAAAAGAGAGAAACCTGCATAACCGCGGAAGAAAACAACAATAATAACAAAAGAAGAAGAAGATGTAAAGAAATAATGAGAGGGAATCTGGTACCACTACACCTCATTCCACCTCCCTCATTATTATCATTATTATTTCCATCTATATGAAAATAGATATACATGCCCCTCCACCAAAACCTGTACACCTGTTTTTCTGCTGTTTTTTGTTTTTCTTTT